CCCTCCCTCCTCAGCCCCCTTCCCTCCTTAATCACTGCAACACATGTGCAGCTCTGTTCCCCTCCCTCTCCCTCTCTCCTAGCTACCCTGGTCTCATTTCCCGTCCTCAAGCTCACAGCCCTGGCCTGGGGTATAACACACGCACGCGAGCGCACACACACATACACACACAAAACCAACTGTGGAATGTTTGCGGCTGGGAGCATGCTCTCCTCTGTGTCTCCTAGCACCTGACATCTAATGGTGTTTCCTCACCACGCCTGCTGGGGGCTGGGGGCTGAGCAGGAGAGGGGGAAGGTTGCTTGCTGGCCTCAGTGCTCTGAGGGCCCTGGGGGTCTCCTTGGAGAGGGAACAGAGGACTCCTTCAGGGCCCAGCTGGGATACATGATCACTCCAGACCTCCTCAAACTTTCATTCATTTATTTAACAAAGTCATTCTCTCTGCCACTGTTTGCTTGGATGTGGAGCAGAGTGGAGGGGACCGCAAGAGTAATAATCTGGCCAGAGCCAGCCTCTGAGGTCAATGGTCCAGAGGAGTCCCACCCACACCAGCCCAGCCTCAACCAGATGAGTGTTGAGCACCATACAGGACCCCTGCCTGTCTTGGGGGCAGCCTTCCCCACAGACATGCTGTATAGGCTGTAGCCAGGGTAGGGGGCCACTGATCAGGACAGGAGGAGGAGGAAGTGCTGGGGAGACTGGGAGAAGAGCCATGTCCTGAGGTGTCCCAGTGGCAGGGAGTGGGGGGTACGGATGGTCTGGTGGTCCTGGTGGGAGCTTGGACACACTGAGGCTGTGGCACCTTGGCGGACCATTAGCAGCACACAAGCCAATGGAGCTGTTCGCTGCTGTCAGCACAAACTGGCTCTGGCCAGCTGAAGACAAAGAAATTTCCGGAAGGAAAATCAGAACAGGCTGGCCAGAGGAGGCCCAGAAGGACCTGTGGCCTTTCCCTGAGGCGTAACCATTACGATGGACCACTTGTTCCCCCTGCTAACCCCTCACCCCAGACTCCTGTCCAGGTGACAGAACTCCCAGCAACAAGGAGCCTCAGAGCTCAGCTTCAGGAACAACAAGATGGGTGGCCAGGCGTGATGGAGGTCTGGGAAGGGAAGCATGTGTTGGGTGGCGTAGAATGTTCTAGAACAGGCAGCAGAAACCAGAACCGAGCTGCTACAATAGAATCACCGCACGTGGGTGGTGTACCAAGCAGAAAGGTGTTCTCCCACAGCTTAGGAGACTGCGAGTCCAAATTCAGTCAGAGGGGAAGATTCCCTCTGCGTGTCAGCTCTGGGGGAAGATCTTGGTATCCTTTCAACATCTGTGTGTCCAGCATTGTTTGGGGAGCTCCATGTGTCTTGTCATCAGTCTTCCCCTGAGTCCCAGAGAAGAGGTCACAGGTCCAGAGAGCATGCTGCAATCCCTGCTCTTCATTCTGGGTGGTACTGAGATCCCTCTGGTCAAGTCTCACTCGTTTCATCTTTTACATCTCAAAAGAAACTGACTCAAGACACAATAATGGACGGTATCCTGCCTCAGTAACATTCTAGCGGTGGTGTTGGTATGCCATGGAGTCGGTTCCAACTCTTAACAACCTTGTATAGGGTTTTGGAGGTTGTAAATCTTTACGGGAACAGAAAGCCTCATCTTTCTCCCACAGAACTGCTGGTAGTTTTGAACTGTTGGCTTTGAGGCTAGCAGCCCCACTTGTAACCACTGTGCTACCAGAGCTCCTTCATTCGCTTTTTAGAGGTGAAGAAGTCAACACACTGGGTAATTACATCAGATCAAGAGCGTTAAGGGGAATTACATCATACTGAGAATTGTGACCAGGCAAAGTTGACATATATGGGGACAGGGGGCAGGCACTATTCAATTAATAACAAAGATGACGTGCTCTAAGGGGGTAGAAGTATATTACATTTCTGTTAGGACAGTGGTTACACAGGTTACCCAAGGTCAGCAGTTCGAATCTACCACCTGCTCTGTAGGAGAAAGATGATGCTTTCTGCACCTGTAAAGATTTGAAACACTATACAGGGTCACTATGTGTTAGAAATATATATATATTGTTGTTGTTGTTAAGTACTGTGGAATCAGTTCAGACTCATAGCAATCCTGTACAGGGTTTCCAAGGCTGTAAATCTTTACGGGAGCAGAACGCCTCATCTTTCTCCTATGGAACCGCTGGTAGTTTCGAACTGCTGACCTTGAGGTTGGCAGCCCAATTCGTAACCATTACGCTACCAGAGCTCCATAAATATATACACACAGAGAGTGGAAAGAAGGAGAGGGGGAGAAAGAGAGAGAAGAGAGAGAGGTTGTTGTTGTTGTTGTTAAGTACCGTCAAGTCAGTTCCAATCCATGGCGACCCTGTATAGGGTTTCCAAGTAGTGGCTGGTGAACTTGAACCACTAACCTTGCGATTCAAACGACCTTTCAGTCCAGCACATTAACCCACAACGTCATACCAGAGAGAGAGGAGAGGGGAAGAAGAGAGAGAGAAAGGAGGTGAGAGAGAGAGAGAGGTTTACATCAACGAATGGCTCATACAGCTGTTCCAGATACAAGTTCCAAGTCCACGGTCAGATGTCAGACTGGAGGCTTCTCCTGACTCATGTAGCTGCAGGATGAACCCAAGATCTGCAGGTCAGACGGCAGGCTGCTGGCTACAGAGATGAATGAAGGTCCGTAAGTAAAATGGCAGTCTGCTGACAACTCCCCAGATCAGCAGGCAATACGGTCAGCTGCTGGCTCCAGTCCAGAGAACAGGAGGTCAGAGGAGGAGCTGGGTGCAGGATTCAGACACAGTAAAAAGCAAGCCAGATTTTCCAGGGCATTCACATGTATATGGGGAGTCGGCCACACCCCCAAGGAAACCTCCTTTCAACCGAACAGCTGCTCAATAGCAGATCTCATCATGGGAGATTACCACACCTAAACTACCACTGAAGCTCTGGTAGCATAGTGGTTATGAATCAGGCTGCGAGCCGCAAGGTCAGCAGTTCGAAACTACCAGCTGTTCTACAGGAGAAAGATGAGGCTTTCTGCTCCCGTAAAGATTTACAGCCTCGGAAACCCTGTACAGGGTCGTTATGAGTCAGAACCGACTCCAAGGCACATAACAACAACAACAACAACAACCACTGAACCATTGACACAAACCTTAACTATCACAGATGTGTGGACTGATGGACCATTAGGATGGATGGATGGATAGATAGATACATAGATAGATGGCTGAATGGACTGATGGATGGACTGACACATAGATAGATAAACAGATAGATAAACAGACAGCTGGATGGATAGGTAGATAGATAGATAGATAGATAGACAGACAGACAGACAGACAGATAGATAGATATATAGATACATAGATCATAGAGAGACAGACAGATAGATTGATAGATAAACCGACAGCTGGATGGATAGGTAGGTAGATAGATAGATAGATAGATAGATAGATAGATAGATAGATAGATAGATAGGTAGGTAGGTAGGTAGATACATAGATACATAGATACATAGATAGATACATAGATAGATACATAGATACATAGATAGATACATATATCATAGAGTGACAGACAGATAGATAATTGATAGATTTTGTTTTATTAGGTACTGTTGATTCAGTTCCAACTCACAGTGAAAACCTGCCCAGTCCTGCGCCATCCTCACAGCAGTTGCGATGTTTGAACCCATTGCCACAGCCACTGTGTCAGTCCATCTCATTGAGGGTCTTCTTCTTTCTTGCTGACCCTCTACTTTACCAACCATGATGTCCTTCTCCAGGGACTGGTCCCTCCTGACAACGTGTCCAAAGAACATGAGACAAAGTCTCAGCATCCTCAGTTTCAAGGAACAAACAGGATAGACAGGTAGGTAGGTACAGAGCTGCAGAGGATAGAGATAGGTAGGTAGGTAGAGAGCTGCAGAGGATAGAGACAGGTAGGTAGGTAGAGAGCTGCAGAGGATAGAGACAGGTAGGTAGGTGGGTAGGTACATCCACTCATTCAGGTAGAGATAGCTTTGGTAGTTCAACCACCCTCCCATCATCCCTTGACCAGAGGATAATGGGGCCCTTTGCCACACAGTTTCCCCAAGAGTTCTTGTAATAGAAGGCAGTTTCCCAGAAGACAGTCAAGCTGCTGATAGAAGAAGAAAAGAAATGGGAAAGGAATAGACCTCAGTCTTATGCTATGAGCACTGACAGAAATTGTCTTGGAGTCCTGGGGTGGCACCATAGAATCAGCACTTGACCTCAAGGTCAGTTTGCACCACAAGGTTGGTGGTTCAAACTCACCAGGTCCTTCCTCAGAAAACCTGTCAGGGTAGCTATGAGTCAGAATCAACTCCACCGCACTTAACAACAACAACATTCACAGAAGATGTGAACCCATGTGACCATGTAGAAAAGAATGTTGGTTTTATTCATCTTCCCAACAGAAATCCCTGTGGTGGAAGAGCAGGGGGACAAGAACTGCATGTGGACTGGTGATGTGGATTTGTCCACAAGGTCCTTGTCATGATTCGAATCAGTTAAACCTTTGCGTTTCCCATTTCTTCCTCCCATGGACACATGATCCAAGCAGCACTGATCTTCCAGTTCTGGGCTCTTGAGGAGGGCCAGGATGGAAAATGGCTGGAAGTCTGGGATTGCACACATGAGACTCTTTGTCTTCGGAGAAATGAAATATGGCCTCCTTGACTTGGCTTCACCAGCCTCTAAAAAAAGATCAGAGACAAGTGCCTGATCACGTGACGCCGCATCAGCTGTTGGACTCTCTCCATGTGTCACTGGGCATGGGTACGCCTAATGTAACCTTGGTCCTCCCACTCTCTTGGGGCATTTAAATGCTCCTTGTGGTACTCACAGCTGCTGCAGAAGCTGCGTTGAGAGGGAGCAGGCTGTCTCCCCTCCGTTTCTCTTCCCTGGGCCCCTGGAAGCCAACACCCCTGCCCTCCCCGCAGACCAGTGCCTGGCTCCCCTCTCCATGGGGACATTCGTGACTAAACTGCTCCTTCCCACCCTCAGCAGCCTGGCCTTCCTGCCCACTATCAGCATTGCTGTCAAGAGACAGTTCCACATGGAAGCCATGGTCTATCTCTTCACCATGTTCTTCGTGGCGGTAAGTCATGGGACACTCTCTTGTAGGTAGAAGGCGGGTCCTCCCGCCATGTTCCTTATATTGAGTGATGAAGAAAAGTAATCAGGAGGCAAAAGAGTGGCTCTAGATCCCAGATGTGGTCCTGACAGAGGTTGGGGTGTGGTCCTCCTCTCTGGACCTCAGTTTCCTCACCTGTATATTAGATAGCTCTAAGAGCCAGCAGATCATTCTATGATCACGTGTGATCGAGACCAAGCCCAAAGTGTGACTGTGTCAGCTGGTGAGGACAAACCCTTCCAGGATGACCCCATTCCTCAGCCACTCTGAGACCACCCGAAGCGGCCCAGGGGACGGCTCTCCTGCCCCACCCTCTCCCAGGAACACTCACAGGGAGGCCGCGTCTGAAAGAACAGGGTGTGCCAGGCCCAGGAGGGTCAGCAGGGCTCAGGGCCATGGGGGTTGGATGAGTCTGATTCCCCAATGCTGGAGCTGCCCCAAGGTCAGCGGCCACTCACACCCGCTTGTCTCTCCCTCTGGGGCCTCACATGTCCAGTTGACTGGAGCACCTAGAACCCTATCTAGCTTTGTTGGGGCTTCGTCTGTCTCTCTGGGGCCCCATCTCCTGCCTCTCCCTGCCCTGTGGGGGCTCTCCCCAGGTCTCTACCTCATTGGTGGTCTGTGTCTGCTTTGCTCTCTGCCTCTGTCATGGTTTTCCCTTTCCCTCTGTTGGTCTGGTTCCATGGTACTTTCTGGAATGACTGTTGTTGTAATGTGCTGTCGAGTTGGTTCCAACTCAAAGTGACCCTGCTTAGCGTTTCCGAGCAGTGGTTGGTGAGTTTGAACCACCAACCTTGCTATTCAAACCCACCTTTCGGTCCAGCGCTTATCCTACAGCACCACACCAGGATTTCTGGAATTCCTTCTTTCTCAGTCTTCCTATCTACCTACCTACCACTCTGCCTGCCATCGACTTGCATCTCATTACCCACCTCTCTGAGTGCCCCACTTCCTTTACAACATCCTCACTCATCTTTCCTCTCCCACCGCAATGCCCTTCCCCAAAGTGACCTCTGTGTGTTCAGGCGTGTGAAGGCCTGTCTGTAAGACACACACGTGTGTGTGAGCACACGTGTGTGTTTGCAGACATGGGTACACAGCTGCTGCTGTCCTGTGACAGAAGACATGTGTACATATGGGGGTGCAGCCCCAGCTCTGTGTGCAGGTTTCGGTAGACAGCAGTGATTCTCTAGGGGAGTCGGTGTCATGTCCCAAGCTGGGGCAGGGTAGGCACAGTACGTGCTGGCTGGACAGTATCCTATGTGTCTTCCCAGCATCCCCAGGAACAGGCATGAAGACCCACATTGGGCAGGTGGAGAAGCTGAGGCTTGGAGCTTTGCTAAGTCACGATGAGGGCCAGCATGCTCTGAGAGCCATTCCAAGGCCTGGCCTTGGGTGGAGTTAGGGTTAGGACTTCTGTTCACAGGTGAGAAACCGAGGCAACTCTTTGGGTGCACAAGCCTCAGAGATGGGAGGGGTTTGCCCCCCAGGCGCATGTGACACTCAGCCAGGAGCCACAGGCATCAGCAGGCTGCCCACAGCTGCCTCTGTGCCCCACCCCAGCCTGGTGCAAGTGGCAGGGCCAGCTGCCTCCTGTGACAAATGTTCCCCACCCCCTTTTCCAAAGCCCCCGTTGCACCCTTCCAGGCTCTGCCTTCCAACCAGGACCAATGGGACACCTGCTGCCTAAGTGCTCTGTCCTGGGGCTGGGTGATCTCTTCCCACTGACAGAGAATGCTCAGAGTGAACCGTTACTGAGCGCGGGCAAACCTGGGGGTCCTAGAGGCTGTGCTGCCAGTCAAAGGCCCCCATCTCACCCCACTCCCCCAGGCCATCCCCACTAACCCATCCCACCACCCCACCAAACCCACTCCACTGCCCCCGCCCATCCCCCAACCAAACCCCTCCCCCACCCCATTCCCCCCAGCTCACTCCCTAAGACCATTCCCCCCACCAGCATGGAAAGATAGTGGGGGTCCTGGAGAGTCAGAGGCCCTGCTTTGCCCATCCCTCTGAATCCCACCTCCCACCTGTCCAACAAGGCTGAACATGCACATAGTGGGAGGGGCCACATATACCATGGGGTGCAAGCTGTGATCCCAGGTTACACGGGAGCACAGCTAGGACCAAACACACAAGTTCTTGCTCTCGATGGGCAGACATTTCCCGGAATTACCCAGATTCAAGGTGCAAGACAGCACACAAAGGAAGAGTCGGAACAGGTTCGGTACCATCAGTGGGACCTACCTCTGCCGCCAGAGCCACAGGGAGCAGGAGATTGGTGCACCTTGATCAGGTCCCCCCTGAAGCTTCTCTTTCCCAACTAAGCAGTCATTTCCACTTTCTGGTTCCTCTCCTCTTGGCCAGTGTCACTTCAGCGTGTCGCACGCTGAGTTGAACACAGATCTCAAGGTAGATTCAACCAGAGCCTACCTCATTCTGGTGGTCATTGGTGTTAAGTGCTGTTGAGTCAGTTTCCAAGGAGCAGCTGGTGAGTTTGAACCACTGACCTCGTAGTTCGAACCAACCTGTGGTCCAGTGCTTTATCCCACAGCGCCACCCCAGGACTCCAGGTCATTGTCGTTAGGTGCCGTCAAGTTAGTTCTGACTCATAATGACCCCATGAACAACAGAGCAAAAAAATCCTGCCCAGTCCGGCGTCATCCTCACAATCGTTAACTACATTTGAGCACATTGTGGCAGCTACTGTGTCAGTGCGTCCCAGAGAAAGCCTTTCTCTTTTTCAATGGCTCTCTACTTTATCAAACATGATGTCCTTCTCCAGAGACTGGTCCCTCCTGACAACATTCCAGAGTACGAGAGGCAAAGTCTCATCATTCTAGATTCCAAGGAGCATTCTGGCTGCCCTTCTTCCAAGACAGATTTGTCCATTCTTCTGGAAGTCCAAGACACTTTTAATATTCTTTGCCAAAACCATCATTCAAATGCATTGAATCTTCAGTCTTCCTTATTCATTGTTCAGCATGCAGATAAGATTATTGAAAATACCGTGGCTTGAGTCAGGAACACCTTAGTCCTCAAAGTGACTGACTTTTTGGCTGCTGAACCTTTTTAAAAGGTCTTGTGCAGCAGATGAGTCCAAGGCAATACATTTTTTAATTTCTTGACCACTGCTACAATAGGTGTTTGTTGTGGATCCAAGCCAAATGAAGTTTGGCAACTTCTATCTTTTCTCCATTATTATGATATTATTTACTGGTCCAGTTGCGATTATTTTTGTGTTCTTTACATTGAGGTGCAATCCATACTGAAGATTATAGTCTTTGGTCTTCATCAGTAAGTACTTCAAGGACTCTTCACTTCAGCAAGCAAGTTGGTGTCACCTGCATATCGCAGGTTGTTAATGAGTCTTCCTCCAGTCCTGTGCCACGTGCTTCTTCATATGACCCAGTTTCTCAGATTATTTGATACAGACTGATTAAGTATGGTGAAAAGATACAACCCTAGCGCACACCTCACCTGATTTTAAATCGTTCAGTGTCCCCTTGCTCTGCTTTAACGACTGCCTCTTGGTCCGTGCACAGGTTCCTCATGAGCACAATCAAGTGTTCTCTGTAAAGACGACAGTCTAGGAAACCCTGTGGGGCAGTTCTACTCTGTCCTACAGGGTCACTATGGTTGGAACCGACTGGACAGCATCCAATCGACTGGACAGCAACAATGGTGCAGGCAGTGACGCACTGGGTGCTAACTGAAAGACTGGCAGTTTGAGTCCAGCCTTAGAAGAAATGCCTGTTAAAACCCTGCAGAAAGAAATCAGTCATTGGGAAGCCCACTGATGGAAGCTCTGCCCTGACACGCTTGGGACCACCATGAGTCGGGGTCAACTGGTGAAGACCACCTTAGCTTTAGGTCTTTCATGGTAGGCCCAGACCTTCTCTTAGATGCCTAAAGATCCCTCTGGCTAGACCCTGTAGTTGACCCAGGTATCTGCACCCCTCAGTCCGGGTAGCTCTTGCGCACACACACACCCTTCTGAACCGGACTCCACAAGAGTCTGCTGTGCTGGCTCCCACATTTGTTTATGCCAGCCCGACTTGTCCAAATAATTACGTCATGTAATTAAATATTACTTAAAATGATGAAATGTGAATGCAGAAAGAGAAGCGGGTTTCTTCTGGAGAAGAGAAGTTCACTACTTTGGAAATACTCCATGCAGGCATGGTGCTTTTAAAATTGCTGTTAAGTCAAGTGTCGGGGAGACTGTGAAAGGATAGGGGGCAGGGATGAACAAACCTAGGGCCCTCTGCCCAGCACCCATGGGACAAAACACCAAAGCAGAAGGCCAGTTCCTACTCATGGCATCCTCGGGTGTGCAGACTAGAACTGTCCCATGGAATTTTCCAGGCTGTTCCCTTTTGGAAGCAGATCCCCAGGCAGGTTTGAACTGCCAACTTTTCCGTGCTTTACCCACCCAGAAAGCTTTGTCGGGGGAGAGGGGCTTTCAGGTCTCCTGAACTCTAAAGAGACATCATCCGCAGACCTGCAGTTTCAAAGTAGTGCATTCTCAAGGCAGCAAGCTGGTTAAAAAGACACATTTCATGGTCCCACCCAGGAGCCACAGAGAAGAGACCCTGTTCTTAACAAGCCCCCCAGAACTGATTTTATTTGTTGTTGTTGAGACTATAAATCACAGTTTCCATGTACACAGTTCAGTGATGTTGATGAGAGTCTTCAAGTTACACAACCCTTCTCAGCCCTCTTCTCTGAGCTGTTCCTCTGTGCGGATGTTAATTTACTGCCTCCTGGTTATGACTTGGGACTGCTAACCTCAGGGTCAGCAGTTGGAAACCACCAGCCATTCTATGGAAGAAAGATGAGGCTTTCTGCTGCCGTAAAGATTCATAGCCTCAGAAACTCTATACGGGGTCGCTGAGTCAGAACCAACTCCATGGCACATAACCACCACCACCAAGATTTCCATCGAAGCGTCTATGTTACTATTGTCAATTTGATCCTCTATAGATAGTTCTAGGACTCCTGGTTTGGCACTGCAAACCACAAGGTCAGCAGTTCAAACCCACCAGCTCCTCCTTAGAAGCCCTATGTAGGGTCACTGTGAGTCAGAATCAATTCAACGGCACTTCACAACAACAACAACATAGTTCTTACAAGAGCACATGTTCGACGTAGACGTTCTTAACTAGTGAAACTCAACTGTTGTTTGGCTTTAAGACAACCTCAGGGGATGTTTTGGTTTAAGGGTTAAAGATTATCTCAAGACAAGAATTTCCAGAGGCCATCCAACCTTCATGGCTCCAGAAACTCTAGCATCCATGAGAATTTGAGTTCTATTCTGCATTTCCCCCTATTTTATCAGGATTCATCTATGGAATCTATGGTCAAAATATTCAGTAATGGTAGCCAGGCACCATTCAGCTCCCCAAGTGTCACCTCAAAGGACATAGGTGTTCAGGTAGGAAGCTGGTCTCCTTTGCATCTTCTTCTCTGATTCTTGACTCTCCTTCTTCCTCTGTTGCTCTGGCGAATGTTGATGGTGGTGGTAAGTGCTGCCCACTCATAGCGACCCTGTATAGGGTTCCTGAGGCTTTAAATGTTTGCAGGAGTAGAAAGCCTCATCTTTCTTCTGTGCAACAGCTGGCAGGCTTGAACCATGGACTTTGTGGTTTACAGTTGAATGCTTATTGTCTGGGTGGAGCCATGAAATGTGTCTTTTTAACCAGCTTGTGGCTTTGTTTTGGCTGATGATATAGAACTTTTCCACCATCACTTTCCACAGATAGAGTCAATTCAATTTCTGTGTATTCCTCTGGTGAGGTCCATGTGTATAGCTGTCTTTTATGTTGTTATTGGTAATGAAGAAGTCATTGGTCTTGGAAAATTGTATCATGTGATCTCCCACAATGTGTCTGTCACCAAGGCCATATTTTCCAACTACTGATCCTTCATATTTTGTTTCCAACCTTTACATTGCAATCACCAGTAATGATCAATACATCTTGATTGCATGTTGGATCAATTTCAGACTGAAGAAATTAGTAGAATTTTTCAATTTCATCATCACTGTCTTTAGAAGTTGCGGTGTAATTTGAATAATAGTATTATTACCTGGTCTTCCTTGTAGACGTATGGATGATGAAAAACTCTTTTTGATGATGAATTCAACACCATCCCTCTTCAAGTTGATGTTCCAGGCACAATACACAAATTCAAAATGGCCAATACTTGTTCATTTCAGCTCATTAATCCTACATATCAGTATTTTTGCATTCCATTTCTTTTTTGACAGCTTCCAACGTTTATAGATTCTTACTTGATACATTTCCTGTTCCAATTATTAATGAATGTTTGCAATTGTTTCTTCTCATCACTAAATGAAGGTCCTGAAAACTTTACTCCAATCACGTCATCACGGTCAGTTCTACTTTGAGGAGACAGCTCTTCCCTACTCATATTTTCGGTGCCTTCCAACCTGAGGGGCTCATCTTCTGGCACTATATCTGACAGTAGTCTGGTGCGCTTCATAGTGTTCTAATCTGGTACTACATCTGACAATGCTTTGATGTTATTCATATGGTTTTCCGTGGCTAAGCATTTAGAAGCGGTCCACCTCTCTGTCTTCCTAGTCTATTTTAATCTGGAAGCTCCATTGAGACCTGTCCACCATGCGTGACCCTCCAGGTATTTAAGACCGTCACTCACCTTTGTCCTACTGTAATGGCCTTTGTGTTGCTACAGTAGCTCCAATTTGTCCATCACTGCAAACGGAAAGTCAACTCTATGAATAATAAGATTTTCTTTTAATTGAGATGAAATTCACATGATACACAATGAACCATTTTAAACAATCTGTGCATTCACAATGCTGGGCGAGCACCATTCCTGTCTACTTGTAGACATTCCCTTCACCCCAGAACACACCACAGCATTATGCAGGCTCTCCCCACCCCAGCTGCTGGCAGCCAGCACTGCATTTTCGTCTCTGTGGATTTCGTCTGAATACTTCATGTTAGGAATCTGGCAGCACCTGCCCTTTCTGGTTTCCCTCACCTAGCGTATGCTTTCAAATGCCATCTGCCAGCATGTGACAGAGCTTTGGTCCTTTTTATGGTAATACTTATCCATTGTATAAATCCTACTGCCGTCCAATCAACCTGATTCACAACAACCCTATAGTACAGAACAGAACTGTTCTATAAATCTAGAGACGAGTGCTGCTGGTCTTGGTGTGGCACTGTAGGTTAAGCACTGAATCTAAAGGTTGGTTTGAACTGCAAGGCCAGTGGTTCAAATCCACCAGCAGCTCCTGGGAAACCCTATAGAGGGTCACTATGAGTTGGAACCGACTCGACAGGGCTTAATCTTTACAAGCGCAAACAACTTCATCTTTCTCACTAAGAACAGCCAGCAGGTTCAAACTCCTGACCTTGTGGTTACTAGTTCAATACAGAACCCATAATGGCACCAGGACTCCTATTGAGTAAATATTGTTTTATTGCTATTGTTAAGTGCCATCAAGTCGGTTCCGAGGAACAGCTGGTGGCTTATATAGATAGAACGCAATTTGTTGATGCCCATCCAGATGGTGGATTCTGGGATTTCCCTAGGTGATTCTGGGGGTCCTGACTGGTGGAAACCACTCCCCAGTGGGGGCAACTGGTGGGCACAAGGCTCTAGAGAGCTCTAAACCGGAGACTGATGCCACGGCAAGTGTGATCTATAGAGCCACAGCCTCATATCCATAGACTAGCGGATGAGAGCACATTGACAGGTAAACCTGAGAGGTCTTGGGTATAGTTCCCCACCACCACCCCATTGCAATGTTGCAATCAAGCAAGTTACATGTTTTCCCAGTGCATATCAACATTAGGGTAACACTAGACCGTTGTCCACAAAGAACACAATAAAAGGTGTTGCCACTGAGTGGTTCAGCCTCGTAAGGCCTCTGTCTAGGGTTTCTAAGGCTGTAAATCTTTACAGCAGAAAGTCTCATTTTTCTCCCACGGAGAGTCTGGTGGGTTTGAACTGACAACCTTCATCCAGTGTTTATCCTGCCACACTACCAGAGCGCCTTTGAAATGTACACTGTTGTTGTTGGTGGTGTTGTTTAGTGCTGTCGAGTCAGTTCCGACTCACAGCGACCCTGTATAGGGTTTCTGAGTGTTCTGAGAAGGGACTGAGGGATTTGAACTGGGTTTACCCTATAGCACTACATCAGGACTCAAAGAATACACTAACATGATGAAAAAGTTTTAAATATTGTGAAAATGACCAAAACGTGTTCCAGAGATACAAGGTGAGCACATAGCGTTGGGAAAATGGCGCTAGGGTGTTGCTACAACTTACGGTTGGAAACTACGCCGCAGTACCTGCACCGCGCAATAAAGCAAGGTGTGTCTGTGCAAGCTTCAAGGATACCTGAGAGTCCAGCTGACATCACATGACGTTCCCCAGACCCTGAGCCACCACACGGTGGTTTCATTGAATCCTCACCAGGCCCCTGAGGGGAGGGCTCATCCAGACCCCAGCGTTCAGGGCCCATGACGCGCCCATGTCTCTCGGTTAGCATGTGCTCCCTGGTCCTCTCTGGTGACACCACCGTGGGTTTGCTGACAGCTCCATCACGCCTGCAGTAGCCCTGGCCTGTCCATGCTCTGCTTCCTGAAACTCGATGTCCTGGAGTACTTCAGCATCTACGGCACGGCACTGAGCATGTGGGTGTCCCTGATGGGTGAGTGTGCCCGCTTGTGGGTGTCTGTCATGGGTGGAGGGTCACACACACATGTGGGTGTCCCTGATGGGTGAGTGTGCCCCCTTGTGTGTGCCTCTCATGGTGGAGGGAGGGTCTCACACACACATGTGGGTGTCTCTCATGAGTGATAAGCCCCCCACACATGTGGGTGTCTCATGGTGGTGGGCCCCCACACACGTGGGTATCTAATGGGTGGTAAGTCCACCACACACATAGGTGTCTCTCATGAGTTGTGGGCCCATACACATGTGAGTATGGTAGGCCTCACACACACGTGGGTGTCTCTTTCATGGGTGATGGACCCACCCAAACATGTGGGTGTCTATCATTGGTGATGAACCTGCACACCCATGGGGGTGTTCTCATGGGTGCTGGGCCCCACATGCACATGGGTGTCTCTCATGAGTGAATGTGCCTCACTGCAATCACCCACCAGGACTGCTCCCCAGTTGTGTGTCCACACCAGAAGCAGGCCAGCTCACTGACCTCCACCACTGACATCTCCTCCCCTCTCCGGGGTTTCAGAGGTGAGCTCAAAGTAGGAAAAAGACTTGCCTCATCTCTCTTCCCCTCTGCAAATCCACATTTCATAGATGTCTGTCCTGACGCATTCAGACTGAAAAGGCAGACAACAAAGTGGGGGTCCCCCCTTCTTTGGGGACCCTCTATCACAGATCAGGACCAGCTTCTGTAATTTGCTGAGACTTTAACCAACAAGTACACACACATCAGTTTCTGTTTGGGCATATTGTTCTGCAACTTTTTCCCATTGGGATTGTGACCTCTCAGAGCAGCCTGACCTTGGGGTTTCACTGTCTGCGGGGCTTCAGTGAGCCACCGGGGAGCAGCAACCAGGAAAGCTGTTGATCTCTCCCGGGTTCTCTCCTTGGCCCCTTCAGCTCTGGCTGACTTTGACGAGCCCAAGAGGTCAACATTTGTGATGTTTGGTGTCTTGACCATCGCGGTGCGAATCTACCATGACCGCGCGGGCTACGGCGTGTACTCGGGCCCCATTGGCACAGCTGTCCTTATCATCGCTGCAAAGTGGGTGAGTACAGTCCATGCCTGGACACAGAGGGACCAGGGAAGCCCATGGCCCCTTCCTTGGTCTGACTCCTGCCTGGAGTCTCCATGGACAGACCAGCTGGACATGTGTCTTCAGGTAAAACACAGACAATGACACTCAAGTTTTCCAGCCAAGCAGACCTGCCTACATTCTATCTCCTCACAAGATGTGGCCCTCACCCCATCACTGATCCTTAACCTCAGTTTCACTATCTGCAAAATGGATTTTACAATAACACCGTGGTCCCAACTTCCTGGAGATGATTCAGAAATGAACTAAGAAAATGTATGCAAAGTACCTAGCTTAATGTATTCAACAGCTTGCTGCTCATTGGTCTGTTTCTGAGCCACTGTACATATAACAGAACAAAACATCACCTGACCCTGCGCCACCCACACTATCATTGCTGTTTGAGACCCTACGTGTGGCAGTTGTGACCATCCATCGGAAGGAGAGAGTCCCTCATGTCCGGTGATCCTCTATTTTACCAAACATGTGTCCTTTTCTAACAATTGTTTTTTCATGATAATGTGTCCAAAGTAACTAAGTGGAAGTCTTGATATCCTCTCCGCTAAGTTCACTCCTGGTGAACTGCAAACCACAAGGTCGGCAGTTCAAACCCACCAGCTGCCCCTCAGGAACTCTAGCATAGGGTCGTTATGAGTCAGAACCGACTTGACGGCCGGCATTTAACAACAGCAACAAGGAACATTATGGTTGTATTTCTTCTAAGACCGATTTGTTCCTTCTTTTCGCAGTCCATTCAAGACTCTTTGCCAACATCGTTGTTCAAACCTATCAATTGTTCCTCTGTCTTCCTTTGTCATTGCCCTACTTTTTCATGCCAATGAGACAATTAAAAATACCATGGTCTAGGTCAGGCACACCTTAGAGATCAATGTGATGCCTTTGCTTTTTAAGAATTCAAAGACATCTTTTGCCGTAGATTTACCCCGTGTAATTAATGCATCATCTGATTTCTTGACTGTTGCTTTCATGGACTTGGTTTGTTGATCCAAGTCATCATCAATGACTTCTATTTTTTTCTCCATTTATCATTATTTTGTTTATTGATCCAGTTGTACAGACTTTTGTTTTATGTATGTTGAGGTGTGACCCATACTGAAGGCTGTGGGCTTTGACCTTCACTTTCAACAAGTAAGTTTCTGTCACCGGCATAGCACAGGTTGTTATGATAGTCTGTTCTTCGTCAGATACTTCAGCTTCCTGAATTATATTTTCAGTGTTCTGTTGTTGTTGTTGTTGTTGTTAAGTGCTGTTGAGTTGATTCTGACTCACAGTGATTCTGTACAGGGTTTCCAAGGAGCAAATGGTGGATTTGAACTGCAGACCTTGTCAGTGCTTATCCTACAGCACCACTCCAAGAGTCCTGCTCAGTATACCCCTTCAACTTTGTCCTATTATCATACTTACTCAATATGTAAAAAACAAGGAAAATGAGGAAGTCTCCCAATGAGAAGGATTGGCACAGTGGCGGCAGCCATAGGCTCAAGTGTGGCAACAGTTGTGAGGTTGGCCCAAGACGGAGCAGTGTTTCACTCTGTTGTGCATAAAGGTCACTATGAGTCGGTACCGTCTTGGTGACACCTGACAACAACAACAACAACATTCAATATGTATACTGAACAATATTAAATGTACATGGACTGTCAAAAGAACTAACAGATCTGTGTTGGAAGAAGTACAGCCAGAGCATTCCTTAGAAGCCAGGATGGCGGTACGTCATCTCTCATACTTCAGACATTTTATCAGGCGGGACCAGTCCCTGTAGAAGGACATCGTGCTAGGTAAAGTGGAGGGTTTGAAAAAAAGAGGGAGACACAACTCTGATACATATCCTTTTAAGTTTTGTTTTTGTTTTTTTTTTTAATTTATTCTTATGTTGTTTTAAGTGATTTAAAAATCTCTTATATATTCTTATCATGTCATTTTGTTGTTGTTGTTGTGACCTGAGTGATAGTTTACATGAATAGTTTACACCATCATTTCATTGCAATGACTACAATCTCCTCCATGCATCGTCATTCAACAGTATTTGCTTCCATTCCCTCTGTTTTTTTTTGTTTTGTTTTGTTTTTTTTCAGGGGAAGGAGTACACAAAAACACTCAGGAATATATAATCATTTAAACAACCAAAGGGCGCATTCTGCAAGCCTGCCTCCTAGCTGCCAGCTCTCAGTCCCTCTCTTTCCATGAGTCTAGAGCCCTTAGCTGCTCCCTCTCTCCATGTCCTCATCTCTGC